CATAGAGATTGGAAACTAAAAATAAAAACTTATATATGTGTTTTGTTTTTCTAGAACACTGAGCCAAAAGACAGGAAATGTTTGAATCTTGGTGTCAGAAAACAAATTTAAAAGAAAAAGTATTTTACACATTTAGAAGATTTTTAAATGACAAGATCCATTTAAACATGAAGTCAGCAGAGCATTTCCTAGAATGGAATTATTTTATTTTTAGAAGTATTTGCAAAAAGCATGATCATCTATGTAAAAAAAAAATCCTAAAATATCTACAGAAAAGCTATAATAATTAATTTTAACACGGTTGTAAGATACAAAAATCAATTTACAAAAACCAATTACTTTTTTAATATATTAGCAACCAACAATTGGTAATTAAAATGTAAAAATACAGCATTTAGAATAGAACCCAAATTATGAAGTAGTAAGTGTTAAATTTAACAAGATATGTCATGAGACCTGTATGGTGAAAACTACAAAACATCTTTGAGAGAAATTAAGTAAAACCTAAAGAAATGGAGAAATATACCATGTTGATGAATCAGAACACTTGATATTTTAAGATGTCAGTTTACCCCCACTAACCTACAGATTTAATGCAGTCTGTAGTTCAAATTGATTCTAAAACTATACAAATGAAATAGAACTAACATAGGCTAGTTTTAAGACTTTTTACAGAGATGAAGTAGTCAAAACACTTTGATTGGCATAAAGATAGACATGCAGATCAATGAAACAGACCAGATAGTTTAGAGATAGACCCACAGATTTATGTTCAATTGTTTTTTGACAAAGTTGCTCAGGTAATTCAATGAGGAAATGATAGTCTTTTCAACATATGGTTCTGGAACAACTGGTGAATTGTGACCCTCACCCCACTCCATAAAAGCAAATATTTAAAAATAGATCTAGACCTAAATGCAAAACCTAAATTTTAAAAACTTCTACATGAAAACATAGGAGAAAATATCTGTGACCTTGACCTTTGCAATTTTTGCCTACATAGAACACAAAAAGTATATAAACCATAAAAGGAAAAGATTAATAAATTGAGCTTTATTTTTTAAAAGTAAATAGCTTCTGCAGTTCAATAGTCAGAATTAAGGAAACAAAAAGGCAAGCCACAGACTGGAAAAAAAACTATTCGCAATACTTATATCTGATAATGGACTTGCATTCAGAATACATAGAGAACTCTTACATTCCAATAATAAGACCACCTATGTTTGTTTTTGTTTCTGTTTCCTGAGATAGGGTCTCCCTTTCTGTCCCAGGCTGAAGTGCAGTGGCACAAACATGGCACTCAAGCAATCCTTTCTCCTCAGTCTCCTGAGTAGCCGGGACTACAGGTGCACACCACTACACCTGGCCATTTTAAAAATTTTTTGTAGAGATGGAGTCTCGCCATATTGCCCAGGCTGCACTCAGTCTCCTGGGCTCAAGCAGTCCTGCCTTGGCCTCCCGAAGTGCTGGGATTATAGGCATGAGTTACCACATCCTGCAAGTTTTTTTTTTTTTTAAGCCTAAATATTTTAACACATTTCACAAAAGATAAAATATAAAAGGCCAAAAAGCCCAAATGATTCTGTCATTAATCATCAGAGAAATGCAAAAACTAAAATCACAATGAAATACCCTATGGCACCATAAAAATGGCTAAAATTAAAGACTCACTATACGAATTGTTGACAAGAATGTGGTGTTATACATCGCCAGTGGGAATATAAAATGATACAACCACTTTGGAAGATGGTTTGGCAATTTCACATAAAGTTAACTGGCAATTAACATATAGTTTAGCTATTTCATCACCCTTTATCCAAGAGAAAGGAAAACATGTCCACACAAAAACTTGTACATTAATGTTTAGGGCAGCAAGCCCAAACCAAAGACTACCCAAATGTCCATCAACAGATGACAGGATTAACAAAGTGGAGACTGTCCCCAGAATGGCATAATACACAGCCGTAGAAAAGGATGCATTACGGATAGTGCCACAGTATGCATGGTTCTCACGAAGTTATTCTGAGTGAAAGAAGCCAAACTCAAAGGAGTACATACTTTATTATTACATTATATGAAGCTTTAGAAAAGACAAATCTAATGTTTATGGATAGAAAGCACATCAGTAGTTGCCTGTGGTTGTGTGTGGGACCTGGATCGATCATACTGCGGCAAAAGGTAGCTTTTGAGGGTGATAAAAAAGTTGTATATTTTCACTGTGGTGGTGGTGGTGGTGGTTACTCAGATGTATAAACTTAGCAAAAGCTCATCAAGATGTACTTTGTGAATTTTATCACATCAATGAAGATTGTTAAAAATGGGCATGTTTGAAATTTCAACACCATTTAAATGGGTGCAATTAAAGAAGTCTCATTCTCTTCCCTATTACTTGTAATCTGTTCCCACTAACTCCTGTAGGTACCCAATTTCATTAGTTTCTTGATTGTTACTTTCTCTGTTTGTTTTTGATGGAAGTATATGTGCATAGATACATATTGTTCCAGATATTTCACAAATTAAACATAGCATACTATGCATAAATTTTTGAAACTTGCTATTTTCTTTTATATGTTTAAATCAACCCATTTACCATTTTTAATTTATTTTACTGTATATATTTAAGTGTACAAGTTTTGATATACAGAGCAAAATGATTACTATAATCAGACAAATTTACATATCCATCACCTTCCGTAGTTACTTCTCTTCAGTATGTGTGTGGTAAAAGCACCCTACTCTCTTAGCAAAATTTCAGTATACATTATTCAAGATAGTCTTCATGTCATCCATAGTTATCTAGGCTTTTTCATTCTACATAAGTGAAAATTTCCACCCTTTGACGTACTCCTCCCTGTTTCCTCCCCTCCTCATCCCTAGTAACCACCATTGTTTTATTCTCTTTTCCTATTTATTTGATTTTTTTCATTTTTTTGTTTTTGTTTTTGTTTGAGATGGAGTCTCGCTCTGTCACCCAGGCTGGAGTGCAGTGGCGTGATCTCGGCTCACTGCAACCTCCACCTCCCGGGTTCAAGCAATTCTCCTGCCTCAGCCTCCTGAATAGCTGGGATTATAGGCACCCGCCATCATGCCCAGCTAATTTTTGTATTTTTGTAGAGACAGGGTTTCACCAGGATTTATTTTTTAAAATAACTTTTGTTTCACTTCAGAAGAGGGTAAGGAAGAGAAGTAAAATCCAACTCATTTTTTCAATATATGAAAGAATTACTTAGCCCCTACTGTATATAAATCATGGCTGTTGGAACTAATAGACAGATGCCTGTGAGGGTGCCCCCTGGCTAAGCACTGAGCAAGACCTCACGTACTCTCATTGTTCAGATGAAGTTCTAATAACTCAGTGTCTGAATCTCAGCTTTGCAGGTTTAATTTCTCTCATCTTGTCAGTAGACTCGTGTAGAAATCCTGAAGCTGATGTATTCACTTAGAGCACAGTAGCCCACCTCTTCACTGATTTTACTCTTAAAAAAAAATAATTGCATGAAATCTGTAAAGAAGGCCAGGTGCCATGGCTCATGCCTATAATCCCAGCACTTTGGGAGGCCAAGGCAGGAGGATTGCTTGAGCCCAGGAGTTCAAGACCAATCTGAGCAACATAGTGAGCCCCCCTCTCTATTAAATTAAAAAATCAAAAATAAAAGAGAAAAAAATGTATAAACAGAACTCTAATTATGAGAACTAAAACACATTTTTCATTAAATTTTGCATACATGTTTAAAGTACTACAATTAAAATGAAATTTTAAAAAATTTTAGAGTCATCAAATTAAATACAGACTATCCAAAATGTTGCTTGAATAAAATACATAAATGTTACAAATCTAGAATATTCTGGTTGGCCTAGCCAGTGACTTCTTTCTCTCATTAGGCAGGTGATCATGGAAAGCAATATTATAATCACAGAGTTGTTTGGTAAGCCTCGAAACAGATCAAGAAGAGACAGTTGAATGATGTTAACGATAGTTGTTTACGGAGTTAGAGACTCATCTGCCAGTTAGTATGGTGTCTTTAGTAAAGGTTTGTACTTGCTAAGACGACCATAGCTTTCCCATCAGTAGAGCTCTGCCAGCCATAGAGAGTACAGCACGAATACTGCAAATTTGTTGTCTACCTGACCCCTATTTCTTGGTGTTATCTTACAGCTGCATCCTGCTATACAATTGCCATAGCTTTACCTAACAAAAGTGACAGAGCCAACTCTGGAATCTCAAGCTAGAGAAGCCACTCTACTCCTTAACCCCACCTTATCCAGTGTTCCATCTCATTTTGGATTTATGGGCATCTTGAGGACTTCTAGGGCTGGGTTACCCACAGAGAGTAAACAGATGGTGCTGAGCAAAACTTTATAGCATGGATGTGCATCACTTCTGTTGGGCAGGCAGTGAACAAGTGGAGTTCTAGATGCAGACAGTAAAGTCCTCTTGGGCTCCAGTAACCAGAAGTTCCCACTAGAGTTGAGGCCAGTCAGTTCCCCCACCCCACCTTTTGAGATAATAATGATTCTTCACTAGCACTACTGACTTGGCCTTCCAGACTTTATTTGTAGGAAATTAGCAGCAATTTCCTGCAATTTATAAATAAGACGCCTTACAAGGAAAAAAAAAAAAAGCACGATTTCCCATTCTTTTTTTTATATATGTATTGCTTAGAGGGTTGAAATAACCATGAACTTAAATCTGGAGTATTTAAGACATGGTGTTGGGTAAACACAGCAGGGCTCCCTTTGCAATTTCCATTGGAGAATTTGTGCTCTAAGAATGAGCAGAGCAGAATTAACACTGAGTCCCTCTGCCACCCCTCCAACAAGTCTCCATACCCAGTGAGGTCAGATCTGTCCATTTTGTTCTCCCAACTTTCCCCTAAGAATTCAAAATAACAATATTAGCAAAGTTAACACATCTATAGCACTCACTGTATGTTGTCCACTGTTCTAACAGCTTTGTACAGAACTGTACCTCTAATAAAGAATGCATGTGTCTTTTGCAGTTGTGAAGATGACCTCTCCGAGGACAGAGAGGAGCTTCTGCATGGGATTTCAGAGCTGGACATCAGCAACTCGGATTGTTTCCCATCCCAGCTGCTAGTGCATGGGGCTTTAGCCTTTCCTCTAGGGTTAGATTCCTACCATGGCTGTGTTATAGCGGCTGCCCGCTATGGCCGGGGCCGGGTGGTTGTGACTGGCCATAAGGTATTATTCACTGTTGGTAAACTGGGCCCCTTTCTGCTCAATGCCGTCCGCTGGCTGGATGGGGGCCGCAGAGGCAAGATCGTGGTGCAGACAGAGCTGAGAACCCTGAGTGGCCTCCTCGCAGTGGGGGGCATAGACACCAGCATCGAGCCCAATCTGACCAGTGATGCAAGTGTCTATTGCTTTGAACCCGTGAGCGAAGTGGGGGTCAAAGAACTGCAGGAGTTTGTAGCAGAGGGTGGCGGGCTGTTTGTTGGAGCCCAAGCCTGGTGGTGGGCCTTCAAGAACCCCGGAGTGTCCCCTTTGGCTCGATTCCCAGGAAACCTCCTCCTCAACCCCTTTGGCATCAGCATTACAAGCCAAAGCCTCAATCCAGGGCCCTTTCGTACTCCTAAAGCAGGGATAAGGACCTATCACTTCCGCTCCACCTTGGCCGAGTTCCAGGTTATAATGGGCAGGAAGAGAGGAAATGTGGAAAAGGGCTGGTTGGCAAAGCTGGGACCAGATGGTGCAGCTTTCCTGCAGATTCCCGCAGAAGAGATCCCTGCCTACATGTCTGTGCATCGACTCCTGAGGAAGCTGCTAAGTCGATACCGGCTCCCAGTAGCAACCCGAGAGAACCCTGTTATCAATGACTGCTGCAGGGGTGCTATGCTTTCCCTGGCCACAGGGCTGGCCCACTCTGGAAGTGACCTCTCTCTGTTAGTCCCAGAAATTGAAGATATGTACAGCAGCCCCTATCTGCGCCCCTCAGAATCTCCTATCACCGTCGAGGTCAACTGCACCAATCCAGGTAAGGAGCAAGGGTTGGGAGCTCAGTATTACGGGAACGGAGGAATGGGGACAGGCTGACGTCAGCAGTCCATTTCAGGGACCCAATCATGTCCAGAGGGCGGTCTCTGTTTTTTACCATGAACTTTGAAGAAGATAAGGGTTGGAATTTTAAGTACTGTTTGGAAGAGTTGAGTCGGGGCGGCATGTAGGGGAAGATACGTGCTTACGAGGGGTCTCTGGTGACGCTGGGTGGAGATGGCATCCTGGAGGAGGGATAAAGTCTGCCTACGCCTCCTGCTTTTGGCAGGCACCAGATATTGCTGGATGAGTACTGGACTCTACATACCTGGAAGGCAAATTATAGAAGTCTCGCTGCCTGAAGCTGCTGCCTCTGCCGACCTGAAGGTAAGGCCATGCCCCACCTCACCATGTAACACGGAACCCAAAGGCTCTTCCTAGCACAGTCAGTACCTTATTTGATTCTCACAAAGCCCTGTTGGTAATACAGAGCAGGTGATTTTACCCTTGTTTTAAGGATGAAGTAACTAAGGTGCAGAAAAGCTGATTGATTGATTGATTGATTGAAATGTATAGAGCTAATACAAGTAAGTGCCCAGGACTCAAACCTAACTAATTTCTGGCTCTTAAGTTTTGTGCTTTTGCCTTACATCCTAGAGTAGGGAATAAGAGATATGAAATGGAAGGTAACCTCACACAGAGTAGGCATTCAGTAAATCTGAGTTCACTGTTCATCTCCGTATCCATTCCCATGGTAGCACAAGGTCTTTCTGACTTCGGCTTCTTCCCCGTGACACCCAAGACCATTCCTCGATTGCCCAGTTCGCCTTCCCTCTGTCAGTTTCATGTAGAGATACACCCCATTTGCAAAATGAGCTTGCTGTCCTTCCCTATCCCCCTTGAGGGTCACTGTGATGGTTAGCATCTATTCTGTGCCTATGCCTATCCTGGAACTTGGTGAGCATAAACTCAGGGAAAAGAATCCTAGGACTCTACCAAGTACCTGCCCAGGAAGATAGCTTGGAGAAAGGGGAGAAACTGAATCAACCCTCAACTATCTTAGCCAGATTACACTGCCTCCCATTGGGCCCTCTCTCTGATCAGCAAAAGGCAGGGTTCCCTCTGCCCCATTCCAAATGCTGGAATCACCACCATGAGATAGGCGACCGAGTGTTCTATTTGTTAGCAACACCAGAGGACTGGGCATGGGAGTCAGCCCTCCTCAGAATTGGCCTTATAGGTTACACCTGGCACTCCTCACATTAATGTCTGTCTAACATGACCCATTATGGAGCTGTTTGAATGCCTTGGAAAAATATTTATACATTCTTCAGCCCATATGCCCCAAGGAATGCTACAGTTTCGCGGGGGTATCACACATGGTTCATCAGTGGTGGGAAGGCTGGGCTCGCGTGGGGTCATGGCTGAATGACCCATCCTGAGTCCCTTGCTGGGCTCTCTTCTTCCACCCATTCGTGTCCCATGGTGACTTTTGGGGGGGGGGGGGAATCTCTCTGCTCCAGATACAGATTGGCTGCCACACAGATGACCTGACCAGGGCCAGCAAGCTTTTCCGAGGCCCACTCGTAATTAACCGGTGCTGCTTGGACAAACCCACAAAATCGATCACGTGCCTCTGGGGTGGACTCCTCTATATAATTGTGCCTCAGAACAGCAAACTGGGTTCTGTGCCCGTCACCGTGAAGGGGGCTGTGCATGCTCCATACTACAAGCTGGGTGAGTGGAAGCCCTGGGTGCTCCCGAGGGAAGGGAAAGAACTGGGATGACTCCAGAGAGCGTGGGAGTCCAGGAGGTGACTAAAGCCTGTTTGATGCACAAGGAGAGAGATACGGACTAATAGAGGAAGGAGGGTCAGCTTCCTTAGATTCGGCTTTGGGGTTGTACAGATAAAGACCAAACCACATCCTTGGGGACTTCATAGAAAAAGCATAGAGAAAAGGGATATAGCCTCAGCAAACTAATGCAGGAACAGAAAACCAAACATGACGTGTTCTCACTTATAAGTGGAAGCTGAATAATGAGAACACATGGACACAGGGAGGGTAACAACACACGTTGGGGCTGTCAGTGGGGTGGGTAGTGGGGCAGATGGAGGGAAAGCATCAGGATAAATAGCTAATGCATGCTGGGCTTAATACCTAGGTGATGGGTTGATAGGTGCAGCAAACCACCATGACACACTTACCTATGGAACAAACCTGCATGTCCTGCACACATATCCCGGAACTTTAAATTAATTTTTTTTAAAAAGAGGAGGGATGTGGCAGTTCATGATTTTGGTGTTCTCTTCCTGGAGTCCAAGCTGTATGTTGTAATTTGTGGGATTTGGGAAAGGATTTCAAGCTCCATGATCTCTCTTCCTAGGGGAGACCACCCTGGAGGAGTGGAAGAGGCGTATCCAAGAGAATCCAGGGCCCTGGGGAGAGCTGGCCACGGACAACATCATTCTGACGGTGCCGACTGCAAATCTTCGTACTCTGGAGAACCCTGAGCCGCTGCTTCGCCTCTGGGATGAGGTGATGCAGGCTGTGGCGCGACTGGGAGCTGAGCCCTTCCCTTTGCGCCTGCCTCAGAGGATTGTTGCCGACGTGCAGATCTCAGTGGGTGGGTGCTCCAAGCAAACCCTCTGTGCATGCTGCCTCCGAGTGCCTTCCTGTGCTTTATCAGCCATGCAGTAGGCAGCCATTAGGGGAAACATACTTTGCTAGCAAGACATATAGATGTATCCTTGCTATTTAAATGGGAAGGAAATATATATATGATATATATATAACAGTTTATGTCAGCATGTCAAGGACATCAAGAAATGCCACCTGAGCTTTCACAGGCATTCATCAGGGACTTCAAGCTGGTAAAAATGGCAGAGGGCCTTGACCTAGGTCAGAATTGTTGGGTTGGAACAGGGATATTTTACAACTTTATGAACACACTGAATAAAGTGATCTTTGCCTATGGTCAAGGAACATGAAAAATGAGGGAAATATACAGACATTAAAGAAACATGGGAATTTCTCTGGACCCTCATTTTCTTCTCTTATACAGATGTCCACTGTAAACTTGTGTTGATGTGGCAACACCATATCTGAACAGTGAGAGAGGAGCTACCTTAAAGAGCTCTGAATTTTGAGAAAAGGTTATAGTGACACAGGTTCACATGGATAAGGCATCCTCATCAAAATAGAAAAATTGAATGGTAACATGAACAGCTCCTTATCTATAAGCTGCGTCTCCTTCCATAGTCACACTATTTTGTGTCAGAGTGAAGATGAAGGAATTCTTACAGAATGAGAAGAGGAGAAGGAACACCTAGCAGGGTCTTGGTTTGGGTTGCTTTTCTGAGCATTATGGTGTGCTGGAATTTGGCTGGGGTTACTGTTTTCAAACAGACACAATACACAGAAGAATGTTACTAGTTAAATGGGGAGAACCCTAACGCTCTCTTCCCTACTGCATTTTCCAGGCTGGATGCATGCAGGGTACCCCATCATGTGCCATCTGGAGTCAGTGCAGGAGCTCATCAACGAGAAGCTCATCAGAACCAAGGGGCTGTGGGGCCCTGTCCACGAGCTGGGCCGCAACCAGCAGCGGCAGGAGTGGGAGTTCCCACCACACACCACCGAGGCCACCTGCAACCTGTGGTGTGTGTATGTGCATGAGACGGTCTTGGGCATTCCTCGAAGCCGTGCCAATATTGCTCTGTGGCCCCCAGTTCGGGAGAAAAGAGTCAGAATCTACCTGAGCAAGGGTCCCAATGTGAAAAACTGGAATGCATGGACCGCACTGGAAACGTATTTACAGGTACTGGGCAAGAACGGCAGGTGACGGGGGACCCCTACTGCGGGGACCATCCGGGGAACTGTCAGATAATGTTCTAGTGGCCCAGAAGACCTCCCATGGCCCCTGTCTCCCACACCAGGATATGGAGGCCCTGACAAAGTCCAACTGTGACAGTCGTATTGATGATGTCTCTCAGTGCATCGCTTTGCATGGCCCTCAAGTGGATTTAATTGCCTGAGCCTCACCTTCCACCCCACAGAGCTACATAAGAGTAAATAGAAAGCACTGAGAAAGGTTAAAAATGGTAGAGGCAAATAAAGTACTATACATGTACTCACTGTCTCTGGCTTTAAAGCCAGACATACCTGAGACTGAAGCCAAACTCTCCTACTTAATAGCTATCTAAAACCAGTCTCCCCTCCCCCATACACATAATCCATAGGCTATGACTTATGTTTTTTTCTTTAGATGAATGTACCATCTTCTCATTATGCCTTGGCCATGCCTCAGAGTCCCCGTTATGTAGGCAGTCCAAGAGTCCTCACTGACCTGGACAAGGAGGTGGCCTTGCCTTTGACCAGTTGTTTAATGCCCAGTTCCCTCCCTGCAATGCCTGTATCAGTTCTTGGCATGAAACTGGAGAGTTTCATCACCTTGAATTTCAGAACTCAGTCTCAGGCCAAGCATGCGCTATTCTGGTTCTTCCACCTGCCGGAGGCTCTCTTATTCACTCCCACTGCCATGAGAATTATGGGAAACAGCCAGCGAGGCTCCACTTCAACCTTGTTATAGCTGCTTTGCCCCAGGAACACCAAGTTTCTCATTGGTGAAATAAATGTGAAGTTGGTCTGGAGAACTGCTCAAGTGCTTCATAATTCAAGCTCTGTAACTCAACAGCCTCAGAATGGCTGCCTTTTTCAAAAATTACAACTTACTCTTAATTCTAGTTACCCAGACAATCTGTAGTCTTCTACTTCTATCCAACTCACTTTTTTCCCCAAAGGCCATTTTAATAGCCTTGCACATTGACGAAGATCTATGATTAATGAGGATTTCTTTGTGCCAGGATAAGGTGGAAGTTTCCCTATTATTGAGGTTTCACTTTTCAACTCTTGAGAGATAAGAGGATTTTTCCAATTCTGCCAATTTTAAATCCTTGTGTAATATCGTATCTCTATTTGCATGATCTAGTGGGATATATGGATCATGACAGTGGTAGAAAATATTGATATTAAGCATTGCAGTTATTACCATGGCCCTCACTGATTGAGTGTTCACTCGGTGTTGAGCACCGTGCTGGTCCCAAGGCCCTTTCTAAGATTAGAATGTGGGAGAGCAGCGCCTGAGGCCAATAGGCAAAATGGAGGAGAGCAGGTCGGTGATAGACGTGAAGCTGATGGGTAAGGGGTTACATACACTAAGTTCACTTATTATAGTGGTTCTTGTTGGACCCTCTTTTATTTCTCAATCTCACTTGTATTTTTCTTTCTCTTTCCAGCTACAGGAAGCCTTTGGTTGGGAGCCATTCATCCGTCTCTTCACCGAGTACAGGAACCAGACCAACTTGCCCACAGATAATGTTGACAAAATGAATCTGTGGGTCAAGATGTTCTCCCACCAAGTGCAGAAGAACCTGGCTCCGTTCTTTGAGGCCTGGGCCTGGCCCATCCAGAAGGAAGTGGCTACCAGCCTGGCCTATCTGCCTGAATGGAAGGAAAATATTATGAAATTGTACCTCCTCACACAGATGTAAGGAGTGCCCATCGAGGTGGCAGGTAGAGAGGTTTGGGGAGGTAGGCAGAGGTGGGGATTCATTCCTCTACCTCTGCCTCCCAGGGTCTGGCCTTGTCCTCTTAGTTCATTGCCCTATACCTTATTACCGACTTCTGTCTCTAGGAAGTGGGTTCAGAACACAGCCAAAAGTGGAATCAGAATTTCTCAGGTGCAAGGGCTTCTGTTTCTGCATCTTATTCCTCTGCTCTCAGCTGTCACATTCCCTCCTAACCCTGCACTGGCCCAGTTCCGAGAGCTTTGGCACCTGCTTCTATATCAGCCCTGATTCACCATCACAGGCCATAGCCCAGAGGGGGTAGTTCTCATGTTGGCCTCCTGAGGACTCCCTTTGGGCTTTTGTTTCTGATCAGTTGTTCCAAAAACTTGACCATAAAACTCAACTGGAACACAAATTTACCATGAGACCCAGACAGCTCCCAGATAGGCTCATATATTTTGTGACTTGAGCAGTTTTCAAAGTGCTAGACAAGCATTCTGGTATAGTGGGAAAAGCCCAGAACTAGGTAGGGTTAGCTCTTGGGAAAGTCATTTCAACTTGGTACTCTCATTTCCTGTGTGTAAAATGGGGATAAAAATTCCCAGTTCACAGGGTTGTCTGGAGGTTGAGACTGATAAATTCTGAAGAGGCTTGTGAGGTCTGCAGAGCATGTCATCTAAGGGGTTTTTCTATTTTATGCTAGTCCACAGGATAATGAGCTTACTATTTTCCATCCTCTCTCCAGAATTTAGAGGTTAGGATAACTCTTTCTACAAGTAGCTTGCCTGTGTTCAAATTCTGGTTCTTTCACCCACGAATTGTATAACCCTGGCAATTGCCTTAACTTCACTGTGATTTAGTTTTCTCATCTTTAAAATAGGATCTATCTCATAGGATTATTGTGAAGATTACATTTTATAAGACCTCTAAAAAGCAATGGAACAGTCCCTGGCAGGTAGTAGGTGTTGAGAAAATGTCTGCTGCCATTATTATTATCGAATTGACTGATCATTCTTTATGAGCTAGACTTGACTTTTAGATTATATTTACAGAGGTGGTTGTAGTTAATCCTAGCCCATGTTGCACTTTATACAGCAACCTCTGGAAGGATTCTGCTATGTTGCTTTATGAATCTAAAGGAAGAGCTCTAGAGAAGAGAGGAAAGGAAGAGAATTTAGAAATTCACAATAAGTTTTTTAAAAATAGCTAAAAATTTTAGTTTTTTTAACTTAGATTTGTAAAGCTATTTATAAGAACCCCATTGTGAATTTGGAGCTCTTCCTTGGATCTCCTTACCCAGTTCTATCTTACACATCCAATTCCTTCTTTGATTAAATCAAGACTAGATGTCTTAAAGAAACGAGATCAATTCCATAATGACATTTGGCCTTAACAAACAGAGTGTATCTGGTTTCATGACGGTGTTTATATTTCTGTAACGCAGATTCAAGACACAGTCCCTGTCGAGTTACTCACCAGTTTGGCAGACAAAGTCCACACACATAGAGGACTTGACTCTGAAACAAGATAATTGGATAGAGTTCACCCAAACTTACTTCCTTTTAATTTTATTCAGAATCCCCCATTTCTTTATAGTTTTAACTAAAGTTGGCTCCTTTTGATTGATGTCATATACATCCAGCCAGTTTTTCTTTAGCTCACTGTTTATTTTAATTATTTTAATATATCATTTTATTTGCTTAACTGGTAATTGGGTAGATATGTAGACTGTAAGATTTGACCTATAGAGTTTTTTCTTTGGATTTTTTTTTTTTTCTTGAGATAGAGTATCACTCTTGTCACCCAGGCTGGAGTGCAATGGCACGGTCTCAGCTCACTGCAACCTCCACCTCCCAGGTTCAAGCGATTCTCCTGCCTCAACCTCCCGAGTAGCTGGGATGACAGGCACCCACCACCACACCCAGCTAATTTTTTTGTATTTTTAGCAGAGATGGGGTTTCGCCATGTTGGCCAGACTGGTCTCAAACTCCTGATCTAGGTGATTCACCCACCTCGGCCTCCCAGTAGATTTCTTTATCATGTTATTTGTCAGTCCTAGGATTATTTCTCCTGATTGCATGAATATCCATTGCCTAGCTGCTTTAAACATTAGACATTGGATATTTGTTCAACATTTAAAATAATTGTTATCAATTATTGGGTGTATACCAGTTATTGTAGTGATTCCTTTATATAGATTGTTTCATTTAATCTTCACAATAATCTCATGACATGGCAACTATTATCACTCCCATTTTATTTTATGAAACAGAGAACTGAATTTAATGAAGATAAGGTAAATTATCTGAGGCTATATTGCTAATAAGTGGTTGATCTGGGATTTGAATTCAGGCATTCTGATTATAGAATGGGCATTCATAACTACAGTGCTTTGAATGACCCAATCAATAGGTAAATAAAGAAGCCAACCAGCAAACCAAAGGATCATTATGTCCCTACTTGCCAGAGCTTTGGCTGCATATACTTACCCATCATCTATTTTTATCAGAACAAAAAGTCATTTTGTTTATCCCAAATGACAATTCAAAGAATTTAAGGTAGGCTCCTGAAGTGCTTCCCAATATACAGTGCTGGAGTGAGCCCTTTAGCATCAGCCAGATCTTTTAGGTTCTGGGTTATTCTTTCTAGGGTACCATGAAAGTGTTCTCTAGTTTGTTGGATTTTGAATGATGGACTATTTCGGTGAAGTACCTGACTCCCAAAGATCCCAAACACTGCAGGTTCTCAGAGAGGAAATTAGAACCTCCATCTTTGAGAATATGTGTATCCATTCTTGCCCTCTTTAATATATTTTTAGCAGTACATCCCAGGGATATATTTAAAATATAAAGTTATCCATGTTACTTCCGTGTCTAAAAGCCTCCAGTGGAATTTCTAATTTGAGATAATGAACTAAACATAAGTTTACCTTCCCTCCCTCCCCAGGCCCCACTGAAATTGAAGTCAAGAAATGCAAAAAGGAATTGACACATCTCAGCAAAGAAAACTGAAGGGATTTGGTTATAAGTGGAGAAGATCTCAGCACATTTCTGGAAGAGAGAAAGTGGATGAAGCATGATAATGAAAGAGTGAAGAACCTTTCAGATATAAGCTGATCTGAGCAACATAACCCCAAAGAGACTTGAGCACCTGAAAAGTTTGTCTACTGAAGAATTACTCCGGTTGTAAAATTGAGCCCTCTCCTACTCTTCCCCAACTCTTATGCACAGAACACAGGCAGTCTCCACTATTGATACCCATTAAAAATGTCTTGTTATTGTTGCTGTTGTTTGTATAAAGGAATTGAACAGACTGCCTGCAGAGAGATAAGAGTTGGTGTTCCAGAAAAAAATTTCTCTTCTAGTGGAAATAAGTGTCCCCAGCCAGTAGCTAATTCTCTACTGACAGCTGAGACCTCCTACTCAAGTGCCTGTTGCCTTCAGGTATAGAAGAGATTTGCTGAAGAAACAGACCTAACCGTACAACAGCAGAGGAAACCCATGCTGACTGTTATAGAAGTTAACAGTTATGTTGATTCTTAAATGGGAATAGTGAGTTAGAAATTCTCAGACATGGGTGATGGGGAGGGAAGAAGAATAAGAAAAGTCACCAGGTAGAATTAGGGGCCTTGAAGATATGACAAACTCTGAGGGAAACAAAGACAATGTGGAAAGAATAACTTAATTTTAATTCCATCTTCAGAGAGAGTTGAGGTGTATTTAAGATGAAAAACAGGATACTACAAAGAAACAGAAAACTCAGGAGTTCGAGACCAGCCTAGGCAAGATGGCAACACCCTGTCTCTACAAAATAATTTTTAAAAATTAGCCAAGCATGGTGGTATGTGCCTGTGGTCCTAGCTACTTGGGAGGCTGAGATGGGAAGATCACTTGAGCCCAGAAGTTCAGGGCTACAGTGAACCATGATGGTGCCACTGTACTCTAGCCTGGGGGACAGAGTGAGACCCTGTCTCTTAAAAAGCAGCAAAAGAAAGAGAAAACTGAGAATAAGAAGATCTCTTTGAAAATAAAATAAGACTGCTATAAGTATTTGGTATATGGTCTGGAAAATAAAGTTGAGGGAATCTCTCCAGATAAAGAGCAAAAAGAGATAGAAAATATAAAGAAAGAAAAGAGACATAGACAATCAATATTTAATGTTAGGAGTTCCTGGAAGAGAGAACAGAGACAATGTAGGTGAAGAAGTAAAAAGAAAAAGAATTGAAGAACAGAGCAAGCTAAGTCTCCAGATTTAGAGGTCCCAATAAAATCTACATCTAACACAATATTGTAAAATTTTGGAATATTAAGAATAGAAGGAAGAGATTAAAGTGGCCAGGGAGAAAACAAATGAGGTAATCACGATTAGCTCAACACAAAAATGGATGAGAAATAGACTGCTGACAGATTTGTCATCAGCAACACTGAATGCCAGAAGTCAATGGGTCAACATCTTCACATAGCTTATGGAAAATTTTTATACCTAGAATTTCACAGTAAGGCAAACTGTCAAGAAGAATATCAAAGTGAAGACATTTTCTGACAGGCAAATTTTCAGAAAGTCTCCCTCCTTTGCACCCTTACTGAGGAAGTATCTTGAGGAAGCTCTCCAGCAAAATAAGGATGAAAACCAGGAAAGAAGAAGGAATGGGATCCATAAAACAGCAGAAAGAAGAAGAAATGGGATCTATAAAACAGTGGACCTTACTTAGGATGTCTCATTCTAGAGTGACAGTTATCCAAAAGGATGTCTTACTCTAGAGTGACAGCTATCCAGCAGACTAATTTCAGATGAGAACACAGTCTTGGGCTTTCTGGGAAGAATGTGCATTCAGTGCCATAGATGGTATCATTGAGAAGCTGGGATGCTTGAGAAGGTTATTTAGTCAAGAAAAAGACAAATCAACAATATGTCAAAAAATTCAGGTCCAATTATACAGCAAAATAAAATGAGGCATGATTTTGAGTTATTCATGAAAAATAAGAAGAGGCTTGATAGGTACACTTCCTTTTCTATGGCACAGGCATGATGATATTGGGTGTGTAGGGAAGAAAATATCCTAGAAAGAAAATATAGTAAGCTCTCAGTAAGAAGTATCTAGCCAAAATAATGTCGATATCATTTATTAGTATTCAGTGTTCAGATCAGCCTATTGACAAAGTGTGAAAGGCTTCATTTTTTATTCAGAACTGAAGTTGAAAGTAATTAATGCTGACAAAGGGAAAGAAAGCAGAAAGAGATTGAGAATTAGAGGAAGATAGGTGGAGTCAAAGGTAGAGATACTTATATATTCAAAGTGGGGATGAAAAGATCTTCAGTTAATGGAACAAGAACTAGAGGATTAGTATATTGTTCAAAGCTATAAATCAAACCAATAGATGTATTAAAAAGTGATTTAACTATCAGACATTTGGAGAGAGATGGACAAAGGAAAGTGGAGATAGTGTAAGTTAAATCCTTATCTTTTGTAATGGGGAATTATTAAAGATGGTGTAAAGTCACTAAGTCAGGAAATTATTGCTCAAACATATTATTTAAAGTTAGAAAGTTAGTTACCAGACGATCTAAAATAAATATTGTTAAAAGCATTACCTCTAGGGAATGGGACTAGATGTAAAAAGGGTGGGATGGGAAACTGTGTTTTTCATTTTAAGTCCTTCTGTACTATTTAATTTTTTACCTTGTGCATGTATTACTTTGAAAAAATTTCTAATAAACCCAAATAAAAATCTTCCAGTGACTTCACATTGATTAAGATGCAACCCAGCTAAAGCTTTTAACATGGTTTTCGAGGTCCTCAAGTACCTAGGTCCACTTGATGTGTCCAGGCTCATGATATCTCCCCACTAGTCTCTTAAGTATCTTCCAGTTGTTAAAACACATTAAGTATCTTCCAGTTATTAAAACACACTTCACATTCTTTTGTTTGTACAGGTGTTCCACAAAAAACAAAGCCTGCTGCTGATCTCACCATGTCTGCTGAGTAAGCTTACCATCTAGTGGTTTTTTTAATATTTGTTGCATGAAAGAATACAGCATTGAATGAAGTTTGCCAACTTTATTCTTTTCCAAGAAGGCCTTTGATGTTTGCCCCTTTTCTGGGAAACATTTAAAGAAGGACCCTCCAGGGCCCTAAGCTTTCCTGCACTCCTCTTCATTTGACAGTTTTAATAAGTTTTAGTCTTACATGAGGCCAGCTGGTGTCAGAGGATTTCTGTCCACCTGTCAGTCTCCCTGGTATACTCTTTACTACTTTCCCTGAACATCATAACCTCTTTTCAGCTATTTTTAACCCTGTACTTTGGAGAAACAGCCAACTATCTAATGGAAATCTTTAGGCCACCAAGTTTCTTTTTTTTTTTTTTTTAAGTTTTATTTTACTTTTAATTGACTCATAATTGTACATACTTATAGGGTATAGTGTGATGTTTTGATACATGTATACATTTTGTGATGATCAAATCAGGGTATTTAGCATATTTTTCACCTCAAGCATTTATCATCCCTTTGTGGTAAGAACATTCAAAATCCTCTCTTCTAGCTATTTTGAAATATACAATATACTATTGTTAACTATAGTCACCCTATTGTGCAGTAGAACACCAGAACTTGTTCTTATCTAACTGAACCTCTGTACCTGTTGACCAGTCTATCCCCATCTCCCCTGCCCCACTACCCTCCCAAGCCTCTGGTAACCACTATTCTACTCTCTACTGCTATGAAATCAATTTTTAAAATTATAGAATCTACTTTTGTGTGAGATTGTATAGTAGTCATCTTTACATGCCTTGCTTATTTCACTTAACATAATGTCCTCTGGGCCCAATCATGTTGCCACAAATGACAAAATTTCTTATTACAGTTGAATAGTATTCCATTGTGTATACACCACATTTTCTTTATCCATTCATCCACTGATGGACACTTAGGTTGATTCCATGCAGCTATTGTGAATAATGCTGCAGTAAACATGGGAATGCAGATATCCTTCCACATAACTGATTTTATTTCCTTTGGATATATGCTCAGTAGTGGGATTCAGGATCATATGGTACTTCCATTTTTTAATTTTTTTAAGGAAACTTCATTCTGTTTTCCATCATTGCTGGACTAATTTACAACAGCATATAATATAAGACTTCGTCTTTCTTCACCTTTACCCCAACATTTGTTATTTTTTGTCTTTTTGATAATAGCCATTCTAACTGAACTGAGGTGATACGTCATTATGGTTTTAATTTGCATTTCCCTGATGATTAGTGATGCTAAGCATTAGTATGTCTTCTTTAGAGAAATGTCTATTCAGGCATTTTGCCCATTTTTAAATGGATTTATTTATTCTTCTGCTATTGAGTTGAGTTTTCTATATAGTCTGGGCATTAACCCCTTGTCAGATGCATAATTTGCATATGTTTTCTCCCATTCCTTAAGTTACCTTCAATCTGTTTCTTTTGCTGTACATTTGAATTTTAATCTACTGTAGTACCATTTCTCTATATTTGCTTTTGTTGTATGCTTTTGAGGTCTTACTCAAAAAACCAATGTCATGAATTGTTTCTCCCATGTTCTAGTATGCTTACAGTTTCAGCTCTTAAAGTTTTTAATAAATTTTGAACTGATTTTTATATACTGTGAGAGATAGGGGTCTAATTTTATTCTTCTACATGTGGATATTCAGTTCTCCCAGTGCCATCTATTGAAGAGCCTCTCCTTTTCCTAATGCATGTTGCTGACACTTTTGTTGAAAATCAGTTGGCTGTAAATTCATGGATTTATTTCTGTTCTGTATTCTGTTTCAGTTATCTATGTGTCTATTTTTATACCAGTACTATGTTGATTTGGTTACTATAGCTTTGTAGTATATTTTAAAGTCATGTAGTGTGATGCATCGAGCTTTACCTTTGCTCAGGATTGCTTTGGCTATTTGGGGTCTTTTGTGGTTCCATAGAAGTTTTAGGATTTTTTCTATTTCTGTGAAGAATAGGGATTGCACTGAATTAGTAAATTGCTTTGGATAATATGGACATTTTGACAATGTGAATTTTTGCAATTCATTGTTATCTTTCCATTTATATGTGTGCTCTTCAATTTCTTTTATCCGTATTTTATAGTTTCCACTCGAGATCTTTCACCTCCTTGGTTTACTATATTCCTGGGTATTTATTGTATAGCTATTGTCAATGGATTGCTTTCTTGATATCTTTTTTTAGGTAGCTTGCTATTGGCATATAGAAACACTACTGATTTTTGCATGTTGATTTTGTATCCTGCAACTTTATTGAATTTATTTATTCTAACAATTTTTTTTTGTGGAATCTTTAGGATTTTCTATATATAAGATCATGTCATCTGCAAACAAGGACAATTTGACTTCCCCCTTTCCTATTTGGATGCCTTTCATTTCTCTTGCCTAATTGTTCTGGCTAGGACTTCCAGTAATATACTGAACAAAAGTGGTAAATCTGGCATCCTTGTCTTGTTGCATATCATAGAGAAATAGCTTTCAACTTTTTCAGTATGATGTTATCTATGAGCTTGTCATTTATGGCCTTTATTGTGTTGAGGTATGTTACTTTCATATCTAATTTGTTGAGAATTTTTATCATGAAGGGATGTTAAATTTTATCAAATGTTTTCTTCTTTGTCTGTTGAAACGATTATGTCATTTTTGTCCTTCATTCTGTTAATGTGATGTATCACATTTATTGACTTACATATGTTGAACCATCCTTGCATCCCTGGGACAAATCCCACTTGATTGTGGTGAATTATATTTTCAATATGCTGTTGAATTTGTTTCACTTGATTTCATTAAAGATTTTTGCATCTATGTTGATAAAGGAGATTGGCCTATAGTTTTCTTTTTGTGTTATATCCTTGTCTAGTTTTGATATGTTGGCCTCATAGAATGAGTTTGGAAGAATTTCCACCTCTTCAACTTTTCAAAATAGTTTAAAAAGAAGTGATATTATAATTTACACGTTTGGTAGAACTTAGCAGTAAAGTCATCAGGTCCTGGGCTTTTCTTTGATGGGAGATTTATTGCTGATTCATTCTTGTTACACATTATTGACCTGTTTAGGTATTTTATTTCTTCATAGTAGTTAAATTTTGGTAGGTTTCATGTGTTCAGGAATTTATGTAGTTTTTAGGTTTTCCAATTTATTGGCATATAATTTCTCATAAAAGTCTTTTATGATCCTTTGTATTTCTGTGGCATCTCCTTTTTTTTTAATCTCTGTATTTATTTGAGTCTTCTCTGTTTTGTTAGTCTAGCTAAAACATTTATCTTTTCAAAGAACCAACTCTTTGTTCTACTGATTTTTATATTATTTTCAGTCTCTACTGCACTTACTTCTTCCTGATCTTTATGAGTCTTCTGGTAGTTTTGGGTTCAGCTGGCCCTCGTTTTTCTCATTTCTTGAGGTGCTGCATAAACTTTTTTGATGTAGGCATCTATTGCTATAAACTCCCTCTTAGAACAGCTTTTGCTGTATCCCATAGGTTTTGGTATGTTATGTTTCCATTTTTATTTGTCTCAAGGAATTTTTAAATCTTCTTTTTAATTTCTTTATTGATGCTCTGGTTGTACAAAAACTTGTTTTTAGTTTTCATATATTTGTGTATGTTCCATAGTTCCTCTTGGTATTCATTTCTAGTTTTTACTACATTGTGGTAAGAGAAGATGCTTGATATGATTTTGATTTTTTAAAATTTCTTCAAATATGTTTTGTGGACTAACATATATTCTATCCTGGAGAAAGTTCCATGTGCTATTGAGCAAAATGTACATTCTGTAGTTATTGGGGGGAATGTTTTGTAAGTATCTGCTGGGTCTATTTTGTCTAGAGTGTAATTTAAATCTGATAATTCTTTGTTGATTTTCTATCTGGATGATCCATCCATTGCTGAAAGATGGTGCTAAAGTCCTTTTTATTTTATTTCAATGTTTCTTTCCCTTTAGATCACATAATATATGCTTTATGTGTTGCTTTATATATTTACTTTATATATTGGGTGCTCTGGTGTTGTGTGCTCATATACTTACAACTGTCCTAACCTTTTGCTGAATTGAGTTATTATATAATGACCTTCTTTTCTCTTTTTACAGTTTTTTACTTAGAGTCTATTTTGTCTGATGTAAGTATTACTACACCTGCTCTCTTTTGGTTTCCATTTTCACAGAATTTCATTTTCTATTCCTTCACTTCAGTCTATGTGTGGCCTTATAGGTGAAGTGAGTATCTGGTAGGCAGCATGTTGCTGAATCTTTTTTTTTTTTTTAATCCATTCAGTCACTGTATGTAATTTAATTGGGAATTTATTTCATTTACATTCAAAAGTTATTATTGATAGGTAAGGACTTCTGCCATTTTGTTCATTATTTTTTGGTTCTTTTGTTTATCCTTTGTTCCTTCCTCTCTCATGTTTATCTTTCTGGCTTGATGAGGGTATTTGTTGTGTTAAGCTTTTATTCCTTTCTCTTTCTCATTTGTATGTCTGTTGTAATTTTTTCTTTGTGGTTAGTATTGGGGTTACGTTAAAAACTCTCATACTTAAAATAGACTATTTTAAGCTGATAACAAGTTAACTTTCATTGCATACCAATACTCTAGACTTTCGTTCTGCCCCCAAATTTATAATTTTGTTGCCTTAATATACATCTTTATAGATTGTTTATTCCTTAACAACTTATCATAGCTATAATCATTATTACCATTTCACTTATTGGC